ATTCCGCTCAAGCTGCTCTATGATCTTGGTGTCCTTCTGTTCGCGCATCTTCGTCTGCAGCAGCTGTGTCTGCATGTTGCGAATGGTTTCTTGGAGCACCTTGATCTGCTTCTCGCGCTGCACATAGTCGCTGCGCTCCAAAGTCATCTCATGGCGAATGGCCTCCAGTTGACAGCGCAGCGAGTCGTTTTCGTCCTAAAATAAATTGTGAAATATTTTTTTTATTTTATTATGGATTTTATTTAATTTAAGCTCACCTTCAAACTATCGCTGTCATACCGCATTCTCTTGGCGCCCGGGCCACGCCTCTCGTAGTCCCGCTCATCGTCGGAGATTTCCATTTCATCGTCGGTGATCTGGACCGTTCGCAGTTCCTGCATTGGCATGCGAAAGACCTTTAATTAATTTCCCATTTCTACCAGTTGAAAGGGTATATGGTTTTCATTTTGATTCCATTGCTTATACAGATTATAGATCTAGAACCTAGCTATAAAATTTGCGTATTTAAAGAATGCATCAATCAAATTGGTTTCCTGTTTCACGACTCTGTACTGGTCCGCTTACTTACCTCGCCACCTTTTCAAAAAGAGAGTTTTTGAATTTTCGATTCTTTCTTTTGCTATTAATTATTAATTTGTTTTTTTTTCCTTTGTTACTCAACATCATGTATCTCAGCAGCAACAATTTTTTAGTTTTTCATTTTTAATTTACCACAACCAATCCGACAAATTTTCCAATTTTTCTTTTTAAAAAACATTTTATTTTTAGGTTAAGAAAAACTTGGAAAATTGTGGACATTTGTCTAACTTTTACGTTTAGTTTAGAGAGTATTTAAAGCTTATTGAAAATGTTATGCAAATGCTTAGTAAAAAGAGATAGAAAAAAAACCATAAACAAATGATATATGTTCCAAAGCTAAGAAAATATATAGATTAAAAGCATTTTAGAAAAGAGGCGAAGCTATAAAATAAACCTAATGAATGTCTATGACAAGGAAACTGCTTAAACAATAGATACAAAATAATTTTAAACAGTTTCTAAAATTCTTAGATATATATTTTAATGTTTAAACCAGGTTACAAACAAGGAATTCAACAGACTTGCGAATTACATCTAGATTAGGTCGGGAATTTTGTTAAGTGACATCAGCAGAACCGATAATATGGGAATTTTGATAATCTTTCGAACAAACAACTAAATGACGTATTAATGCAGGGAACAAACATGAGAAAATTAACAATTAATGAACAACAATTAGCGTCTGCTATGGAAACATACAGTAGTAGTAGGGGTAAATGTGGCGACGTGCAGACTGATATGGATAACACAAAATCGCATTAGTGAAGATGTAAGGACAACTACGATTACGATTACGACTACAGAAACACCACAATAATAATACAAATAATAATAATAATAATAACAGGAACAATAACACGAGCGTTACAGTAGTGAATCGAGATTATTGGACAGTACATTTGGCTTTTATACACAACATTTGGCAACTTCTGAGGTTGAGGTTGTTCGTATTTGGATTATTTGAACATTTTAGTACGTACCGTGGCTAACTTCTTCCATTGATCGATGTTTTTTCTTTGGGCTTTGGTGAAATGGTCCCAAACCTTCTTGTGACTAGCGGCATTGAACACTTTTTCAATCTGAGTGACTGAACAATAATGCAATAATATATAATAATATTAAGGGAGGACAGAGGGTATTTTTGATGTTGTTTTCTGGATTTGGAGTTCAGTCTTGCTCTTCACCTTTTTTTATATTATTATTATTAAATAACTAGACTTGCTCTTTTGCGAATCAAATGAGTGAGAAATTATAAATTGAATTAATCTACAGGAGAGACCCTCGCATAGCAATTATATATGTATGTATATGTAAAATAGTTACGGTTATTTAAGATTTGATATATTAGGTACAATCTAGAGAGAATACAACAGAGTGATTCATTACCTATCTTTAGATTTGTCCGAGTCTGAGAGAGGGTTTTGGGTCTACAGGAAGCTTATTCCTTAACTCTGTCAGCGAAAATGTCTCGAATTTGTTTTTCTTCGCCTTTGCGGCTTCTTACAAACCTTTGGGCCCTTAAGCAGACTTCAGCGGACTATTGTGATGGTGTCCGAGGCACAGTAAAAGTGAAGAGATAATCAGCCGCACAGTGGAGCGAATCAGCGAATGAGGAGATCAAAGTAGTGCATAGAAAATTGGTAACTAATTAAGCTGTAGTTCGTTATAAGTTGTGAAAACTGTTATATCTTTGGCATATTTATAATATATTGCTACAGGAGAGTCACAGAATTTGCTAATTATTAGTAATTTATTTAAAAAAATGTGTCTAATACTGTTTTCAGTTAACAGGGGTGCCACCGAAATGGTTTCACATTTAAAATTAATTTAAATGTCTAGAAGTAAGCCATAAAATATTAAATAATCAAAAATTAATGTTCTTTGTAGAAGATTTTTAGTTTACATTTAATTTAAATGAATTTTTTGTGACATATTTATGACAAATGTAATTTAGTGTTGAATTCGATCCCTTTATCTGCATTATATAATACAAATAAGGAGATAGATTCGAAGAAAATACTGAACTTTACTTTATATCTTTAATCCTTTTCAGATAAAAACTTTATTTATAAAATCTTTAATTAAATCTTGCAACATTTTAATTTAAAACCTCGCTTTAAAGTTCTTAAAGAACATACTGATCTTACTTTGATCGCCTCTTCATCTTAAACGATTTTTCTGCTCAGTGTGCGGCGGCCTTTGGCTTGGTCTTTTTTAATTTATTTTTTGCTAGGCTTTACCTGATCCTGCTTGGATTTTTTGGGTTTGCTCCTTCGTCTTTTTGGGGCGAGCAAATTTTAGACAGTGAGTTCTTAATATGGAGTTTCGGCATTTAATATTTCGATGACTAGTTTTGCTAAAGTGTGTGTGTGTTTGGTGGGCATGGTGTGTGTGTTGTTCGAGTGGGTGGTGTGTTTGTGGAACGCTGGTAGATTGTTCAGATATACAGACGCTAAGAGGCTAACCCGGGCGCAACGAAAATAGAAAAAATAGGATTTCAAAGTGGGAGCGGCACCTATGTAAAATTCCCGTCTAGTCTAAGAGCTAAGAAAGCTGATCTGCCGGCGGCCGATCGGCTGGAATACTTACATTGCGTGGACATGGTGCCCATCTGCTTGCGGTAGCTATCCCTGGCCTTCTTCAGATCCTCCTCCAGCTGCAGTTTGTCGGCGTGGAGTCGCCGCACGTGGGCGTGGGTGCTCTGGATCATCGAATAGAAGATGTTGGCATTGCGCTTGGTGCAGTCACCGCGCTCCAGCCAGGCGGTGATTGTCTGGATGGCCTTTACAAAGGTCTCGTTGGTGCGCAAATGCTCTGCTACGGCCGTTGCCTCGTGATCCGTATAGTGGGGAATGGGTGGCGGTGACTGCGAACGCATTCTGTCCAGCGACATGCGTTCCCGGTGACGCTGCTCCCGCTGTTGCTGTCTCTGCCGGCACTCGTAATCGTACTGGTCATCCCGAGCCTGCGCATAGTCCACATGCAGACGTCCAAAGTTGGGCGGTTCATTTAGCGCCGAAATTCGCAACCTATAGCCAGATAGGTAGATGGCACGATCTATGGCTGTCTCCTGGCGATAACGGATATGGCAGAAGTTCTTCTTCGACATGCGCAGCGTGGTGATCTCCCCGCACGACTCGAATATCTCACGGATCACCTCCTCGGTTATGTTCTCTGGCAGTCCTCCAACAAAAACAGTGCGACAGCCGGGCGGTCGGTCGCGTATGGTGGGCGGCGGAGCATTGGGGTTTGGCGGAAACAGAATGCAGTTCTTCGTCTTGATAACCTCCTTGAGGCCAGCCGCTCCTGTGCCATCTGAGGGAGAGGGTAAAAATTCGGTAAGTTGGAGCATAGAAATATCCCAAAATGTAGTCTTACCCGCCGAGAGGGCTGCTTCCACTGCTCCCGCCTCCGAGGGCATTCCCGCCGCCGCTGCTGCAGCGTAGTGCATTTGTTGCATCTGCTGCATGGCCGCTGCCATCATGGCCGTGGGATCCATAAGCATCTGGGCATTGGTGTTGCTGCCTGTCGCTGTCACAGATGAAGCGGATGCGCCTCCGGTGGCGGAAGTGTTCCCGCCAGCGGGACCACTGCCCGCCTGGATGGTCGGAAAGTACAGATACCCCGGCGGCGTCTGCATCAGTCCGTTCAGGTAGAGCTGCGCTGAGTCTGGCAGCGAGAGCCCGGCGGATGTGGCCTGCAGCTTGGGATCCTTGTGGTTCGTGGTTGATGTCACGTCCGCCGTGTGTTCATTCTCGTTTTCCAGATCCATAGGAGCACTGCCCTGCGGCTGCTGCTGGGGCTTAACTGTCTTATTGTTGGATGCTTGCTTGGGCGGCGATGTGGCTCCCATGGTGATAGCACCTCCTACGCCGCCGCCGCCGCCACCGCCCGCAGTGGTGGTGGCCACCGTGGAGATGGCGGCCGCCAGTTGGTTGAGGAAATTCGGGTGATTTGGCAAACTGACGCCGTTCGGCATGGTCCCAAAGAGCGGTACTGCAAAGGAGGTAAGCAATACTATTAAATAACTAAAAATAACGGTATTAACAAAGCCGGTAATAAAGCAAAATAACAATCAGCTGCGGAGCCCCAAAATTCTCGATTACCACTATTTTTTTCTCTTTGGGGGGGTGGGTGGTCTGCAAAATGGCGTAAGTGCCCTCGCTGATTACAGGTGATGCCCACACAAATGGCCCGTGTTTCGACCTTTCCAGAGCATTATTTTCACTCCTGATGCTTTGTTTTACCTTTTAAGGTTTTATTTAACTTATTATTTCATCACTTACGCATATTATAGCCCCCGCAATTGTACGCCAAAGGTAGTGTAAAAAAATAATTTCCTCTAGCGACGAGCAGCCCCAGTCCGATAGCTATCGATAGGCGGGGTATACCAAAAGCAATCGAACATAATCGACGTTCGCCCATCGCTGCCATGAATCATCAGCTGTCGTCAGATTTTTAAGGAAAAACAAACCGCATTCGAAACGTAATACAGGAAAATTCGTGTAAATTTCGGTTTAAAACCAATCCAGCATGTCGGTGAACACGGCACACGCCAACAACGGCGTACTCATCCACGCTGGGGAGTAGTAAGTATCCGGAGAAGACCCATAATCTTCAGTGGAAATCAGCAACTGATACCACAAATGTAAACACTGACGTGTGGCATCCGTTGATTGATTAATTGATGGGAAATATTGATACGAACTCTTGCCCTATTTCCTTCCACAGCATCCTGCTGCACAGTGACAGCGTTTCCATGGAGTTTTCCGGGCAGGACAGTCCCATCTTCAAGGGATCCAAGGCGGGCAGGATCTACCTGACCTCCCACCGGATGATCTTCAACAACAAGAAGTCGTCGGACGCCATGCAGTCGTTCAGTGCTCCGTTTGTGGCCCTGTCGGACGTGGAGATTGAGCAGCCGGTTTTCGGGGCCAACTACATCAAGGGAAAGGTGCGCGCCCAGCCCAACGGCAACTATGTGGGCGAGGTCAAGTTCAAGCTTCACTTCAAGGCCGGCGGTGCCATAGAGTAAGGAAATAAGCCCTATGTTTACTTTTCCTTTAGCTAATTGTTAATTTTATTTTGTAGATATGGCCAAGCTCTGTTGCGCTCCGCCAAGACTGCGATGAACAACTACCATCGCGGCGGCCTTGCTGGCGATGATCCGCCACCCTACCAGCCGGCTGGAGCTTGGAACGAGGCACCACCACCGGCATACCAGCCGCCACCAGGTTACTACGGCTGGTTGCCGCAGCACGACGCCTTCAGTGGCCCGGCTCCGAACACGGTGTTCATGAGCGACAATCCGCCGCCGTATCCGGGTATTGGTAAGTACTCCCAGGCACCAGACACTCCATTCAGGCAGCACTACTCGGCTTTTGTTTTGGCACAATGCGACGCGAATTGGAAAAGGCCTTGCTTAACCCACCCCGAAAATCGAAATTCACGCACCGCACACGCTTCGTTTAACCCACTGGGGCACTCTCTCTCCCATCTTTCTCGTCTTAGCACCACCGGCACCCTACCAACAGCCAGCACAACCACAGCAGCCGCAGGCTCCGCCGCCGTCTGAACCCACTTGGTATGGTTTTTCAGCACCGCCGCCACAGCAGCCGCAACAGCCGGGTTACGGACAGCAGCAGCCCGGTTTCGGGCAGCAACAGCCAGGCTATGGACAACAGCAGGGCTGGGCCGGCGGTTATGTCCAGCCACCGCCCTATGGCGCTTGTGGTCCGCCCGCGAATTGCCCGCCAGGAGCTCCGTATGTGCAGCCGGCCCAGAACTACAATGGACCTCCGCCGTATGGTGGTTATGGTAATGTGCCCGGTGGATTCAACACGCCGGGACTTCAGCAGCCGAATGGTTATCCGGGTGGAGCACCACCACCAAATCAGCAGCCGTCGCAGGCTGCAGGGGCCGCTGGAGGAACTGCCGCTTCGGGAGTCAACTTTATGGGCTTCAGCCTGCCGCCAGGAAGTGAGTAAAGCTTAAACCTAAATTAATCTTCATTTATCACTTAGTTCATTATCATTTCCTTCCTTTAACTATGCACAATTTGAATTAGCTTTTACTTTTGCTGAAGGAGGTGGTGATAAAAAGAATGACAAGTAATCAATAGGAAATGATTCATGAATGTATAGAAATATTTATTAAAAGGGAATCGAAATGGAAGTCATCAAGTATTAGTAGGATCATTAAACCCATAAAGTATATTAATATTATGGAACAAACTATGCAAGATATCTTAAAATCTATCAAGAAGTTTCAAGAAATGTACAGAGTTATCAGAGCCTAAACCTTGTTTTATTTCTTAGTTGTCCAAATTGTAAGAATATGTGTCTAAAAGTAGATAATAAAAAAATTCCCGAAATAATATACTGTTATTATGTTATTTAAATTTAAAAATTATTTTTCTTCGCTATTTTGATTTTTATTTCCCTTATTTAAAACATCATCTGTAGTTACACGTAATACCCAATATCAATACCAGAAAAAAAAGTTCATTTACAAAAACCTAAAGGAAACAACTTTATTCTTTTGACCCATTTTTTACAGTGTAATAAAAGCAAACAAACTACTGTACCTCAAAAAGCCAAGCCCCAACAAGTAAGACTTATTGTTTTCGATGTTTAACCCTCTAAACCCCAAACATGCAAATACTAACAAAAGCCGAGTCGTCAATTAGTTTAATTTATAGTGACTTTGTTTAACGTTTGTTTCCTCTTTAACTTGTTCTTTACCCTTTTAAACCCCTACAAAATGCGAACCTTTAGTAGCAAGATTTGGCAGCACTTATCATTATTTCTATCCAGTCCAAAGACCAGCTACCATGTGTGTTTTTCTGGTCCCAGCTCTTATACCATAAACACAAATTGTAAGAGATGTCAATGGAATACTACAGAAATGAATTCTAAAATATATAATAACTCACATGGTTTGTAATGAGCTGGATTTCCTGTATTCCAAACAGATTCCAAAGAAGCTGAGGCGGCAGCAAGTGCATATAATACCCCATATAACCAAGGCGGACCCAGTGGATCGGGAGGCGGTGACATGCCACCTTCATATAATGTAAGTATTGGTTTAAATTTATAAACATTTTTATAAATTTTTAATTATTTCCTTGCAGAACTTGCCACCCAGCTATGATGATGCCTCGAAAAAGCCCCACTAACTATTATTCCCATAACGAAAAATATAAATATTAAATGTAATAATCAGGGACTCTGAAATACAAGTTAGCTATTTGTGTTTTCTGTTAATAAGACTTGGAAATGTAAAATGTATTTCAAAAGAAATTTATATGTCCAAGTTTTGTTGTAAAAAATAACAAATTTTAATGAATTTTAAAATCGTTGTGACGGTCCCTGTTAATAATCATTCATTCCTTTGAGGTTTATTCATAAACGAAATACGCGTATTAAACAAAGTTATTATATGGATGTTTTACTCTCAAAAAAGTTTTAAAAAACTGTTGATCTGTTTTTAATTTTTTACTTTGAATTCTGGTCACAAAATAAAATTTGGTTTATATTTTTGTAATTTTATTGGCTGAAAGCGTTGCTTTTTATACGAGAAAAATATTAAATACGTTTGTTATACGAAAATTATGTAAACATATTTGATCATTTATTAAATATATATGTATACGAAAACTGTATATTATTAATCAAGAAATTGGAGTATATATCCTGGACGGGGCCTTCTAATTACTTTATTTTCAGCAGGAGTACCTTTTTATTGGCTGAACTCTAAGAGATACCGGCAGGTTGTGGAACCTCGGTGTATATCCATTTATTCAGTTAACTTTTGCTAAGTCTTAGAGCTGTAGCTTTATTTGTTACTTCAGTCGCTGGGAAATACAATTTTCGATGAAGTACTAAAGGAATAATAGTTATTTATATACGGGATTTCCAAAACTAAATCATTTTCCATTTCGTAATTATCTTAAAAATACATTTTCCGAAAGCATCTCTTAGCTATTTTAGCTTATTTATAACTTATAAATATAAATTATAAGCCATTCAAATGTGGTCAGCTTACAAAACCAGAAGAAGAAGCATTTCATTCAGAAAAAGACCACCCTTTCAGCTTTCAAAACAACAACAGGCTTATTTTTGGTCCGATAGCCGACGCGGTTGAATAAAATCAATCATACGCCACATGCGCAGACGCGGGCGTGGTGAGAAAAATGCCAGGACATCGGCAAAGCAAAAGGCTGACGAGCAGATGTCCCACGGAAAGCGGTTTAAATAAATCAAATAAAAAATAAAGCCACGAATTAGGGCACTAATAATTAAAGGCTTACAAGCCCAGTTAAGTTTTTACGGCTGAAACTGCAGATACCAGCTGAGTGTTGTGGTGGCTAATTGCGAGTTTGGGCCACTTGTGTCTGTTGTTTATCGATTTGTGTATAACGTTTGCTCCGAATCTGCAACCGAGAGTCCTCATGCCAATCTGGAAAACAATGCCAAGGTCCAGCAGCCAACGAGTAGTTTAACCACCAAAGGATACGACTTTGGTTAAGGTTTTAAGGAGCAAAACAACAGCAGTGAGTCATGGATGGGGGTGGACAGGAGACCACATACGAACCGCTGGACGGCCGTGGCTCTGGCCGTTCGAGGAGCAGCCATTCCCCAGCTGGCTCGGGCTTGAGGCATCCGGCCAGCATGGACAGTCCCGAGTTTGACACGCGCGCCCCCAAGGATCAGAGGCACTCCGTCTACCTGGCCCTATTGGCGGCGGGCATTGGGTTTGTTTTGCCTTACAATAGGTAAGTTATATTAGGAGAAGGATGTTTAAGTTACAAAAATCATTAAAAATAGTTCCCGAAAGTATGTTTTTAAAGTCCATATATTTTAAATATATATTTTAAAAGCAACCCCTATTTAATTCCCTATAAATTAAGCTAGTCACAATTTGTTCTGCTTACAGTTTTATCATTGCTGCGGATTACTGGCAGGCGCGTTTTCCCGGTCGCCCCGTGGCCCTGGACATGTCGATGACGTACATTTTCGTGGCATTCGCCACTGTCCTGCTAAACAATATAGTTTTGTCGTTGGCGCCATTTCAGTCTCGTGTGCTCTTCGGCTACATGGTGTCCTTCACCACCCTGATCTTTGTGGCCGTGTGCGAAGTGGCCTGGCATATGTTTGCCCAAAATACAGCGTACCTGGTGAATATGTCCGCGGTGGCTCTGACCGCCATCGGTTGTACCGTGCAGCAGTCCAGTTTCTACGGCTTCGCCTCGATGCTGCCCAAGCAGTACACCCAGGCGGTGATGGCCGGCGAGAGTATCGCCGGCTTCCTGGTGTCTTCCAATCGTGTGGTGACCAAGCTGCTCATCAACAACGACCGCGTCTCCACGGTCATCTTCTTTCTGACCTCCACCCTTTACATACTCTTTAGCTACCTGCTGCATGTGGCCACCATCAATTCGCCGTTTGTGCGGTTCCATGTGGAAGCCTGCTCCAAGATTGTACTGCGGCCGGATGAGGTGAGTCGAGAGGCAAGGGAGGATTTCAAGAAACAGTTGCAAATGTTTGGGTTTTGGTTCTTTCAGCAGGAGGTTGATGGAGCGCCCAGTGGCACTCGGTATGGAGTGCTCTCGATGGACGGCACCCACACCACAACCACATCGGTGGGACAACAGGGCACTGGAAACGCCCTCAGCTTCAGCAATCCCGTGTACGAGCTGTCCAATCCGACGGCCGGCGAGAGTAGCATCGAGGCCCTGGGCCAGCTACCAGAACTTCCGGCCACGCCTCCCGCCCAGGAGCCCACAACGCCCACGACGGTTGCATTTAAGGTGGAGCACGTGATCACTCCGCGTCGCTGCCGGCCGAGCAAGTTGGGCGATATCCGCGAGGGATTCGTGACCAGATGGCGGGTGGCCCAGGTTATCTATCCACACATGGTGTGCATCGCCCTTGCCTACTGCGTGACCCTCTCCCTGTATCCGGGCATCGAGGTGGAGGTGCAGTCCTGCGCCCTCCGCTCGTGGATGCCGGTGCTGCTCATGTTCTGCTTCAATACGTCGGACGTGGTCGGCAAAATCCTGGCCGCCAGTCCCTACCCGTGGTCACGCCGCCAGCTGATCCTGCTGTCCGGCCTAAGGATCGTCCTGGTGCCGCTCCTTTTGCTTTGCTGTGCGCCACGCCAGCGTCCAGTAATATCCGGCGAGACGGCGCCGTTTGTCTTCACGATTGCCCTGGGCATTACCAACGGATTGGCCGGCAGCTTGCCTATGATGCTAGCTCCGGCCAAGGTGCCGGGAACGCTGAAGGAGGTAACTGGAAACATCATGACCCTGTCGTACAATGTAGGCCTGACGGTAGGCTCCCTGATTGGCTACTTGTTCGAGAGCATGCTGGGTCCGCAGCTGGCGAATCCCTGCCCCTCGTATCCCTATGTGCCCGCCTCGATCTTCGAACAGTTTCATGGCCACGGCCATGGACACGGGCATCTGCCGCACCCGCTGCCGCTGACCAGTACGAGTACGATGAGTCCGCCGACCACTGGGGCCACCACTCTGGCCCCGCTCCTGCTCAACACGACGCTGGCCAGCCTTGCGCAATCCAGCAGCTCCACCACCAGCACCTCAAGTCCGGCCTTGGCCACCGTGATTACCACCACAGCTCTGGCGCTCTACAGCACGGTGGCGGCCAGCAGTGCAGAGGTGCTGAACGCCACCATGACCTCGATCCTGTCCACAATCACCAGTTCGGTGGGGGATATCAGCGATGAGATGACCACGGATCCCCAGACGCCCGAGGCTCTGGTCGATAATATCTAAGGATCGATGAAGCACGCCCACATCTGCATATCTTTCTTTGTAAGCTTTACTGCGAGACTATATTTGGATATCATTGAATCATTTACAGATTTATTTCATTATTATTCTTACCAGGCAGAACGAGTAAGCTTTTTAATCATTTTGAAAATTTAATACCAATATCAAAGGACAAGAAAATCTCTTCAAAATGAATTATAGCATACAAATAATTTTGTTTCTTCATTTTCCACAGACCTATAAACAAATCACATTGAAAACGAGTAAGAAATACAATTGAAATTTACCTTTATCAAACAGTAAAGTAAAGGATAACCAATTATCTTGAAATTCTTTCCGTAAAGTGATCCATTTTGCGAGTAAGCATATATTTCAGCTCAAGATATACAAAATGTGAACAAAGATTCCAATGAAAAGCATGCGCAAACTTCTTACTATAGGCAATACAACTCGTGTACGTACGTAGTTCTATAAACTATATGTATTTATATCCTTAAGGTGTCTAGGGTGTGACATCTAGGACCCGCACATTACTATTCGAATATACTCCAAACAAGTGCTATGGTTTTCAAATTATAAACCTGTTGACTTAGAGTTACGTACTTAAAATATATGTGTGAATCTGCGTATGATCGAGGAAAGCGGGCCTGGTTATTTTTGTAAGAGTGAAAAATAGTTGATGGCACAGAAAAGCAGCTTTAGAAATATATTTCAATCAAAATAAGACATGTTATCAGTGGGAAAATTAATACTATGTATCCTTTTTTGTTTTAAAAAGATTTGTATGTATGGTTCGCGTTAAATGATTTTTGTATAAACTAGAGAAGAATGTGAGTCGGGTAAAAATGTAATTGTTGTAAGCATTAAAAGCCATCAAGTGCTGCAGCTGGCCTTAAATTGTTTTGTTGCTATTTAATTAATTTATTTAATTTCCCTGCGATTGTTCTGGCTATATACGTAGAGAGAAAATTGTATTTATAAGTAACAAATATGTCAACCTGCAGAGAACATTACAAATAAATGTTAATATAGAAATATTTCAATATACTCTTGAAGAAGTTATATTTTCTTGGGGGTAAGGGAAAACAACGATACCCTATATTAAATATCACTAGAATCAAAATCCCAGAAGCAAATATCTCCAGCTCACTTTCGGAGTTTAACCGTTATTTTCCCCCAGTATTTTAAAGTATAGTTTTATATACCTTAGCATGTTGTCAGGTAGAAGAGCGCTCCTTCAGGATATTAAAGGATAATAGCGCCATCCTGTGGAACCTCAACGGACAGCAACCGTGCCAACTCGTTTCAAATTATACATTCCAAAGGAGTTGGCAGGACTATTGTCCTTGAAAATCTCACAGGATGGCGCTACAATCTGAAGAATATGGCTGACTTTCACTCCTTGAACTTAACAGGAATATTTTAATATCCTGTACTATAACTATCAGAGAAATATTTCCTATAAAATATAAAATCCTTCGCTTCGAGTCTAGCATTCACGCTTTAAACTTAAATATCCTTACAGAAGGGATTATTTTATCCTCTCTAACAGTATCCTTTTTATAAGTTCCTTGGTTTTTTATAAATCACCCTTATTGGGGTGACTGTAAAGAAATGTATTCGTCCTTTACAATATTCTTCCTTTTTTTTAAATTTGTTGAATGTTTTTAATCTAGATAGATCATAAACCTGAGCATCAAACTTATCCTTGTTTTCAGATTTAAACAGTCTATTGGACATTTTCAGAGTTTCAATTATTTCATTTTTATTTCTTATTTAATCGTCATATAGTATAATATACTAAGTATATAGTCCATTTCCATTCAATTCAACCGTAGTGGTTCGTTGCCAAGGGTTAACTAAACTTTCAAACTACATATTTATTCATTAAATTCCTGAAATCTCCAACATCCTATCGACTTTTTAAGTAAAAAAAATACATTGATTAAAACGGATTGGGTATTGTTTGATTTCGGCTGCGCATTTCCGGGCTTATGTCAAAATTTTCTATTTAAATGTAAATGAATTAATTTCAAAAATGTATTTTTCTTTTAATTACAAACGCAGCGCGCCTGGGGAACATTCTGCATTTGTCGAGTGGCCAAAATGAATACAAATTGAATCAATTAGACGGAAAATCCGCCTCCGACTCGAAATGAAAGCCAGAGATAAGGCTTGGGAAAAGCGGAGGCGATTGGCTCCGACCAAATGCAAATTTATTTATTTTTTCCCCAACTCTCCATTTCCCCATCCCCTTTTGCAAAATCAATGGGCGGCATTTTCCATTTTGCCGGCGGAAAAGTGGCAGGGAAAACAGGTTAAGTCGAGAGGACACAACCCGGAACCAGGTCCAGCACCAAAGTAGGCAATTAAATTTATTTTATTTCTCGCTCTCGTTTCGTTTCGCTTCGCGTTTTTTCTGTTTTTGTTGTGACTCAAGGAAGTGGCGGAAAACGCAGACAACACTTGCGTTGCAGGACGAAAGCGGAAGCGGAAGCGACGGGGAAACTCCCTGCTAAACTTGCCGCTCTTCGAAACCCTTACTTTGCGGAGATAGCGGAAGTGCTTGGCCGTGTTTTTGGGCCCGCCTCGATTGCATATGAAGCCACTTTTATCGATTGGGCCTGCACTTTGCACTTCGCACTTTGCCTACATATTTAGGCTGACTTCCACGTTTCGGCTCTTCCCTCGACGCAATGTCATTGTCCCCGGGCGACTATTAACCCTTTGAGTTACCCTCGGATACGATAACATATCCTGTGTAAAGGCAAGGCCAATGAACCAAAAGCGAGGACAGGCAGCAAATAGCAAATTAAAAGTCTTTAAATTATTTAGTATTTGGTGTTGCCTCAGGAAATCTATAGTTCAACCAGTAGGTCTTAGTGGAAATATGCTTGTGAATATCTTTAGTTTCTATTTTTAACTATTTTTATTACTATTCATATTCTAAACAAAGCCACTTGAGGACTTTCCCTTAACGATAACGAAAATCGTCTTGAAAAACAAAATGATAGCAAAGGTCGAATTTTGCACCACATTCAGCATTTGCAGAGCTTCCGCCACATAAATTCCCTTCAAATGGAGGCCAAAGGAACACGAGGTTGACGGGAGCTGGTGGTATCTCCTCGCAAGTTCTGCCCGAGTGGAAGCCAAGCAGAAGAGCAGCAGCAGCAAACTACTTCTAATAACAACAATCAACGCTTTCGCCTCGGCTCTTCGGGTTGTTTGGGTGCTGTGTAATTACATGACAGCAACAGCAACAGACAACAGCAACAACAACTTCAACTGCAGCAGCAGTGAGAGCAGCAGTGGGAGCAAGAGCAGCAGCATTACGAATTACGATAATAATTTCCATTTCTAATTTCCTTACCACGCAAAAGGCCTTTGCACTTGCCGAGGTTGCCAGGCTGCCAAGCACCGCCACCACCCTTCAAAGCCACCCACCAGGCTTCCGGCAACAACAGGCTAAACAGGCTACAAGTACACTTAACCAAGATATGGTAATTGTTTTGAAAGCCTTTCGAAGTTTATAGAAATAATTTTCGGGCTAAACGAGACTTTAATAATGATATACACAGGTTTTTAAGAGCGATAAATGCCCTTAACAAAAATATTAATAAAATATTTAACTTAATTTTCGGTTATACTGATGCTTCTTTTATTATTTAAATGAAGAAAATCTCTGAGAGATTAAATTAAATTAATAGACAATATAAGATGAATATTTCCATCAACCATTTTTTAAGATTCCAAGTAACAAATATTACTTTAATATTTTACCTTTAAATAAAATAAAAATGTTTCGTTCAGTGTAAAAGGGATTGCGGGAATGTGCCCAAGAGCCAGGGCCAGACGTTGGCATAATTTCGATGCAGAAATCTAACAGAATGCAAATGCAATCATTGACTTTTTAGCTTATAACGAAATAAGCGTTGTGTTTATTGGTTGGCTGAACGAGCAAGCACCAGACTCGACGCCCTCCTCCCTTTCTCCCTTCTCGTGGGAAAATGGCAGAAAATGGGATAACACTGCCCAGGCACTGGTGGCGAGTGCACTTGTACATTCAAAGCCTCGGCATGGCCACCAAGTGGGTGGTATTGATCGGCCTGGGGGGGCTAAGGGTGTCGGCCTAGGCCTAAGGTTGCGTTCAAATGTGCGCCAGAAATGTATAGGGAGTCTGAAATAAATTTTAGAAATTTATAAAATGGAAAAGAAATAAATTGAATTATATTTTAAGTTTGGTTCCTTACTTCTGTTGTTAAAAAATAGTATTATTTAACTAACTAACTCAAAATAATTATAATTAATTACAAATTTAATATTGATTTAGTCTTGTTTTGGGTAAGTATATATGTTTAGAATTTTTATGGTCTTGTTAAGAGTTCCATAAATTAATAATTATTTCTCACCTTGATTAACGTCTTAGTTTATTTAATTTTTCAAAGAAATTAATTCTAAATTAAACTAAATTAAGTTTAGCAAACTTTTTTAATAACAAAGTAGCTTATTAGCCATATTCCTCACACAAGACATCCCAAATTGTTCACGAGCATTTTCTTGGATTTTCGCTCCCCTCAAATGCAGTTTTATCTGCTCTGAATCTGTCGAGCTGCGAGGGAACGACCCAAGAGCTATATAGAGTTTAGTATCTCTGGCACACCTCGTCGGTCGGCGCTATCTGGTCGCCTTAAATCGGCTGAGCTTGCTCCACATGGCTCTGGCAATTGGGGATATACACTGGTGGCTGTCAACGGGCAGGTGGCAGGATATTTCTCCTTTTTCTTTTTTCCGTTTTTCCTTTTCCGCGACCGCGAAGTGAGTTTTCCTTTTATGCTGCCGCTGTTGCCACGCCCAGTATCTCTCTGTGGGTGTTGTTTTTGTATTTGTAATTTGATAATGCATTTGATTAAGGAAATGAAATTTTTATTAAGGCTGTTTGCTCATTCGCGTCGCTGGCATCGCGCCTTTGCTTTTATGATTTCCCCCGCACTTTGTGTGTGCGTGTGTTGATTTGCCCTTTTTCCGCATTTTTCTTTCCGTGCGGGGGTTCTGTTTTGTTTTCCCCACTCGAGCGAATTTTCCCTAACCCTGCAGATTTGTTTTCGCATAATTTCTTTGAGTGCGGTTTGGATCTCGGCAATTTTACGATGCGCCGCAGCCCGAGAAGGTGGAAACCGTGTCGGAAAACACCACTTTCCCTTTCTATTATTCAGTTACGAAATTTGCATAGCAGGTTAAATATATAATTTAATTTTTTCGTTCACAATTCGGATTTGCATTGTATGTAGTACCATACTATGGACTATGACTTTGTTAGCCTTTTGTCTGGGCTTCCGGTGACTTTCAGGGGGAGTGTGTGTGTGTGTGTTTAGTAAATGTTAATGTGCTGATGGACAGATTGACAGCAAATAAATAATGAATATGCCCAGGGGTATTGTAAATAATATAAAATCGGGCATTGTAATTGCATTTAGCGCCATAACAAGCCGCACAAAAATGATTGTGTCGCGTTCCACATTTTCCCCAGCGGACGCGCGAGAATTTATCACATTTCTTTTTTTGTTGTTTTTTTCCACGGCCTGGGACATGTCACGAAGCGCGGAAAAAGCCAGCGTTTCGCGGCAGAAGAGTGCAACGGAATTCGTATTCAACACCATGGAAAACCCTTCGTGCGCTAACTAAGTGCGCTCATTCAACTCCGAAAAACAAACTTTGGCTATTGTTATTACATTTTTTGTTCACATTTTCGCGCTGGCGTTGGTGTGGGAAATCCTCAGCTGGTCATTGACTTTCCAGCAACTTTCCGCTTGACATTTAACGAGCATGTTAAGTGTTAGAATGAAGCCTACTTTTCAGCGCTGCCCAGTCCTGCTTCTACCCCGCAGTCCTGTTTACATTATTTCCTTGTTTCGTCCTCGGACAACAAAAGTTGCGTTGCCGTGTTGTTCATCCCTTCTTAAAGCAGCGACTCAACCCTCCGCGGCTGAAATCTCTGTTGGGTTTAAGCGAAGTCCTCGCCGTATTGCACACAGAGCAACATCGAAATG